GGAAAAGAGGTTAAACTATCACTTTTGCAGATGATATGATACTATAGTTAAGAGATCCCAAAAGTACCACCAGAAAACTCCTAGAACTGATCAACACTTTCAGTATAGTAGCAGGTTATAAAATCAATCTACAAAAATCAGTAGCCTTTCTATATACCAATAACAAGCAATTGGAGAAAGAATACAGGGAAATGCTCCCATTCACAATTGCTGCAAAAAAATTAAAATATCTTGGAATAAATCTGATGAAAGACACCAAAGGTCTCTACGATGAAAATTTTAAATCATTAAAGAAAGAGATTGAGGAAGACACCAGGAGGTGGAAGGATCCCCCATGTTCATGATTGGAAGAAGTAATATTGTTAAAAGGACCATCCTACCAAAAGGAATACATAGATTCAATGCTATCCCAACCAAAATCCCTGTGACATACTTCACAGCATTAGAAAACTGCGTCCTTAAATACATATGGAGGCACAAAAGACCCTGGATAGCCAAAGCAACCCTGAGCACAAAGAGCAACATTGGGGGGATTACTATACCAGATCTCAAAGTATACTACAGAGCCATAGTTGTAAAAACAGCATGGTGCTGGCACAAAAACAACACATAGATCAATGGAACATCATTGAAGATTCAAACCTGAGTACACGCAATTTCAGCCACCAGATATTTGACAACTGTGCCAAGAACATACAATGGAGGAAAGACAGCATCTTCAAAAAATGGTGCTGGCAAAACTGGATATCCACCTGTAGAAGAAGGAAACTAGAACCTTATCTTTCACCTTGCACAAAAGCCAACTCCAAATGCATCAATGACCTCAATATGAAACTGGAAACCCTGAAACTATTAGAAGAAAATATCAGCAGTAACTTAAAGGATCTAAGTGTAGGAAAGGATTTTCTAAATCAGACAGAAGTTGCTCAGGAATTAAGGTCAGCAATCAATAAGTGGGACCTCATTAAACTAAAAAGCTTCTGTACAGCAAAAGAAACAATAAAAAAGTGAAGATAAAACCCACAGAATGGAAATAAAACTTCACCAGTGACACATCTTATAGAGGTTTAACATCCAGGATATATAAAGAACTCAACAAAACAAAGAATCGAGAAATCAAATGATCCATTTGGTGTTCAATATCGTTAGTAGTTAGGGAAATGCAAATTAAAACCACCCTAAGGCATCACCTTACCCCAATCAGACTGCCTAGTATCAAGAGAACAAATACCAAATGCTGGGGAGGATGTGGAGAAAGGGGAACGCTCATTCACTGCT